GATGAAATCGTTTAGCAATGAACGAGTTTAAGAGTTTTAAGAGTTTAAGAGTTTTTAAGAATTTTAGCCAAATGCTTTATAATATAGTATAGATAATATAAATATAAGATTAATAAAAAACCAATAAATTAGATAAAAATATAAAATTATTTATGTCTTAGAAAATTTATTTTGCAATCTCACGTCTCTTATCCTTCCTAGAATATAAAAGTGTACACTGGAATAGCCGTATCTTCACTAGAAACGTGGACGGTGGAGATGCGTTCGAGAGCTTTTGGAAAATCAACGGCCACCATTGAAGTTAACCATCCATTTTAATGGCGATTTACACGGTAACTCAAACGAGAAGAAGAAACAGATCGACTCATCATCTCTCTCGTATCATCTCCGAAACAGTCAATCGGAAAAAGGTAAATACAAATCTTCTTATACTTTTACGGTTTTCGATTCATCATCATGTTGTGCTTTTGTATCTGCGTAATTCGAGTTAACTGTTTGAATATGATTTCCTATTTGGCTGATCGACGAATGGCTCGTCCTGCTTGATTTGGTGTTTTGATCGTTAATTACTTGATTTACATGATATCTCTTGGTCGAATGATCGGTGTTAGTAGGAAATGTTGAATAAATCAAAAAATTGTCGGAAACTTGGAGTAATTTGTTCTTATTCATTAAATTCTGAGCAGCTGTGTAAATTTTGATGGAGAAATTCTTCTGTATTTTTGTGAAATGTATTTTGATCTAAAAAGTTGCTATTAATTTGTATAATCGAAGATATTTTCTCCATAAGTGACACCGTTTTACTGTAAAAATGAAGCTGCGAATATTATTTTTTTATAAAATCATAATTAATCTGTTGGTTAATTCCTTGTCTTTTTATGTGTGAGTTTATATGTACGAGTATTATATCTCAATTTTTTTAGAAACATAATAAATTGAAATTAATCGCCTGGAAAAACATTGTGTTATTATGGTAGTTTCAAAGAATATATCGTTGCACTTGACAAAATAAGACACGTGACACCTGATTCTGGTTCTGAATGGTGAGTTTGTTGCAATTTTATTTGAATTTTTGATTGATTTGTAGAGAAATGATGTTAATGATTGTAGAAATTGTGAGAAATGGCTGAACCAAAATCACCTATGAGGAAGCCTGTTTTCACCAAGGTTGATAGCCTGCGTCCTGGAACCAGTGGTCATAATCTGATAGTGAAAGTTGTTAGTTCGAAGTTGGTGTTGCAGAAGGGCCGTCCGGATGACCGTCAAGTGCGAATTGCTGAATGCTTGGTAGGAGATGAGACCGGGACTATACTATTTACTGCAAGAAACAATCAAGGTAATTTTTACTAATTAAATGGAATACTAGGAATATATGTATCTAAATTTATTGTCTTATAATTTTCTTTAGTTGTTAGTAGAAAGCATTACTTACTTCATAGTTGGTTTGCATACCAACTTTGTAATATTCGAATAAATGTCATACTGATCGATTAAGCAAAATTTGAAGATATATTGCTTGAGATGTTACATTTTTCTCAAGTTTTCTTGAATATGAATAGCAGCATGAGTTACTTGAAGTTGTGAATGATCACCATTGGTATTCTTCTAGACAACTAGGTTTTCTTATGGCATTTAGGCCATGTTCGGCAACTGCCATCCATAAGTTATCTTGTTTTTTGAGCTTATTAAAAAATCCCTATTTGGTAAGTCATAAAGTACCTTATATGCAAGTTTTTTGAAAAGTTATTTTATAGCTTTTCAATAACCTTATTTTTTATATTTGTTTCCAATTATGCCTCTTGTATGTTAGAATTGAGTAGTCTTTGAACATGTTTTTAGGTCATTTTATATTGTTACAAGCTTTTGTGCTAGTTATTGCTGAACTTGACTCGTTTATCAACCAACAACTAACTTACAACTAGTTTGCCAAACATAACTTTAATCTTTATTTTGGTTAATTGTGAAGAAGTAGTCAAAGATGTAGATTTATTGAGCATGTCTATTGTATTTGAACATAACTTAGTTGTATTTGAACATAACCTAGTTGTATTTGAACATTACTTAGATGCAATAGTGGATTTGTGGTTCATAACTTCACATTAGTTATCTAGCCCACTTGACTGGACTTATCATGACTTGTGGTTAATAACTTCACATTAGTCCTCTAGCCCAGTTGACTGGACTTGACATGACTGGATAGGCAATAATGAGGAGGTGGGTGAAAGAATTATGGAAGATTTTAGGATTTAATTTGACATACTTTTGTAATTTACCAATCTTGTCTCATCTTTTTTATTTTTGTTCCATCCACTGACGGACCCAAGATTTTGACTAAGCGGGTGCACTTTTAAATGCCTGTAAAGCCGCTCGATGTGTTTTTAGCGGAATTCCCTCTTTGGTTTTTTTTTAAAGTTTTCTGCTTGATTTCGAGGGACTTTTTTAGTTTTTTTCAAGAGTATTTTTTGATTTTTTTGATTGATTTCAACACATTTGCACCTTTAACTCTTCAAAAACTCTAATATCTCGGAACACACCCCAAACTTTAGCGGGTGCACCTTACGTTACCAAAAAAAATTCCTTCTTACAGGTTAAGGTTGAGCGATAGCACGGGAGGTTCCACCTATTCTGGTTGAACATAAAGTATGATTTTTTCTGTCCCACTCAGATCCTATGCTAATGTGACATCAGACATGAGACAACAAGCTCTTGTATAGTCTTGTCCTGCCTACCAAGTACCAACCACACAATTATGAGAACTACAACTATTATATTGATAGTAGTAGTGAATATCCTACTACTTACTGTAAAAATATACGTAGACCGACTTTGTGAATGCATGGAAACCCATTAAATTACTTTCCAAAAAAACCTTGAAGAGAACGGAGATTCTAACATATATTAAGGAAAAATGTTGGACTCTTAACAAACTAAAGATTGAAATGTGATCCATTTGGTTTGCCATAGGCAAAAGTGTAGTAGGGGATGAGCCTTAGATCAACTTCTAGTGGTAAGCTTATTCATTTGTGAATATTGATCATTAGGCAGAGTCATAAAAGTGATCTTTTTGCAACAAAAACAAGCAAAATGCTGAGTTTAAACATTTTATGCCTCAAGACATTTAGCAAGTATCAGAACATGTGCTGCATCCATAATGTTTAGCAGTTTTTTAGGGGTCGTTTACCAAACGCTTCTTCGGGTAAGCGCTTATCAAGTCAATTTACCTTACCAGATGAATATGGTAATGCACTAAGAATCTTACGTGGTAAGAGTGAGACAAGAACCAAGAGTCTTACCCGGTAAGTGAGGGCGACGACTCTTACCACGGTAAGCGCGTACTGGGTAAATTGTTGTATACGTTGTCATTTTGGTGGACTAAAGTTTTACGCGGTAAGTAAGTGGTAATGTTAAATATTACCGGTAATGCTTACCGGGTAATTGTTTGATAAACGGTAATATAATATTTCCAACAATGATTTATTGCTTTACTACAGAAACTCATCTTCTTATACCCCATTTCTTATATTTGTCAGGCGGGTGAAAGAATTATAGAAGGTTATTAGGGTTTTAATTTGACATGGTTAGTTTAGTAATTTAATAATCTTGTCACTATCTGCCTAACTTTTTTCCAACTAACTTATTGGAACAAAAATAAGTGCATTTTTGTCCCACTCAGTTCTGATATGTAGTCTAACGTCGTGCCAAACGTTAAACAAGTTTTTCTTCTATCTTATCCCGTCCAATTTTGCGTACCAGACTCATGCTTACGGAAATTTTACTATCTTAATTTTCTATATTACGTCTATGATGCAGTTGACCAGATGAAAGCCGATAGCACTGTAATCTTGCGCAATGCCAAAATCGACATGTTCAAGGGATCAATGAGGCTCGCGGTCGACAAATGGGGTCGTGTTGAGGTGACTGATCCCGCCACTTTCATCGTAAAAGAATACAACAATCTATCACTTGTTGAATACGAGCTCGTGAACGTGATGGAAGAGTGACCGAAAGAAATGCTTATCTTTCATGCTGTTATCGTGCCATAAGAAAAAAAAATCTCGATAGAGTTCCATTGGTTTCTTGAGATTGTGGAATTTCTCGATAATTATGCCGTTCTTCTATCGGTCATGATTTTTGACGGAAAAAATAGTATTGTAGGTGAAAAATTTGAAGAAAATCTGATTTTCTACGAGAGGAAAGTCCGACGATAAGGATTGGGAGAATCGGTGGAACCTTGACGGATTTTAACTCGATTGGTTAAATGTGTTCGATGAGATAAAAAAAGTGTTCGGTTTGGTTTGGTTTGGTTTTTGTTATTAAGACTTGGGATTTTGTTACGTGTTTTCGAAGTATAAAAGTTTGCCGAGAGATCAGTTATCGAACGATTTGTGTGCGAGTTTATGAATGTATCGTGTGTTTAATAACTATGGGTCTATTTATTTTTCCGGTTTTATTTTTGTCGAAACTTGGATTGTGGACCGGAGTCCATCCCGAATCTCGTCTATTTGTATTCGTAAGACTTGCTGAGATAATTTGCTTTTTAGGGTGCGTTTGGTTTACTGAACCGTCTGAACGTGATAAAACAGAATATGGATTCTCGTTCTATGTTTGGTAGGACTTTTATGTGAAATAGACATGAATAAAGTGGAACAAAAGAATAGGTCTGTTCCACCGCTGTCTCATGGAACAAAATGAAACAAGGTGAAACAAACTTATATTTTACCAATTTAACCTCAAAATAAAGCTTAAAAGGTTGTTTGTTTACCTCTTAATAACACTATTAGAAGGTAGTATCTGAATCGATAAGAAGTGAACCTCGTTTGGCAAAAAAAAGTTTGCTTCTTAATGGTTCTAAAACTCTCTGAATAATTTTGTATCATGTGCTTACTTTAACCATTCAACACCCTAATTTTATTGTAAGCAATTACCAAACAATTATATACCATTTTACACTATATAATAAGAACCACTTAATCATTCTAAACACTTAATCATCCAACAACCCATCAAAAAGCAAATAGATCACATTTTTACATTTTAAACTTAAAAGCCACTCCTATCAGGAGTGAGTACACCATGACAGAAAAAACTTGCAATAAAAAAGATTTCACCTTTGTGAATGCCACAGGAACATTTACAATGATGAATTTTTATCCATAAAATATGGGACCCACAAGCAAGCGATTACCGACAAAATTCATCAGATTCACCTACCTTTTCATAATATTATCAGCTATAAAAATAGGTTGTGGGTAACTTGTTATGTCTCTTACCGGGTAAGATTTGTGGTCATTGTCATGCTTAAGGGTGTAAACGAGTCGAGTCAAGTAGTAGATTATTCGAGCTCGACTTAAAGAAATAATATCTAGCTCGAGCTTGATAAAATTTTCAATGCAGGGCTTGAGCGAATATTATTTGAGTTATAGAGCTCGAGTTTGATGCTCGTTTATGGACTCGGACTCACGTTCGATTAACTCGTTTATTGGCTCCAGTTTGATAATTTTTATGTGGATATATAAGCATGTTTGGTTTGAAAAAATGTATGCTCGAATGACTCGACTTAAAATTTTAATCGAGTTTTCGAAAGAGCCGAGTTGAACATTGGCGTCATGAAGCTCAACTCGTTAAATTAGACGACTTCTATTTTATGTTCGAGATCGACTCGAGCTCGAGAATTATCAAGCTTGAGCTCGAGAATTGTCAAAAGCTTGACTCGTTTACACCCCTAGTCATGCTTACCCACTAAGGTAAGTGACATAATATTTACACGGTAAGTATTGTAAACGACCCTAAAGCTGTCTATGTGGTTAGTTTTTCATCAAGTCCTGCATAGATAAACTATCTGTATAGTTTAAAAGATTTTTGTTTAGGTGATTTTTTTAATAGATGAAAGTAGCGTGCTTTTTAATTGGGAGGGATAAATAAGTCCATTTCTATATTATTAAGTCACTAATAAACAATCATATATAGCTGACTGGATAAGTTATGAGGTCCAGTTTGTTAACAACTTAATAAGCTTAATGTGACTCACAACTTATTCGGTCAACTATAAATAACTGTTAAGTAATGACTTAATGATATAGAAAGTGACATGTTCAGTAAGCTTCTAATAAAAAACTTTATGCAGAAAGCCAAATTTTTTCCAAATTTACCTCTCCCAATTGTAAAACACGCTTCTTTCATCTATGAAAAACTCTTCTAAACAAAAACCTTTGAAATCTACACCTAATTCATACATACAACTTTATTAAGTAAAAACCAACTAAACAGCCCATTGGGCCGTATATTGACTAGAGGCCCATTATCATTGAACCTGTGACCGTTTTTCCCAGGTGGCTTGATTGCCAATTTGCCATTGAGCCTAGGGTTAAGACGCTGGTTGGTAGCTTCGCGAGTCTAAACAACAATGGCGTCCAGTTCAGGAAGACAAGTTCTTCAGAAAGCGAGGTCGTTCTTCAGCTCAACACGTAAACTTCAATCTCCGTCAAACCTTAATGGACTGTCGCCGGCGAGTACTACTCCATCTTCTCGCCTCTCTCCTCGCCGGAACCCTCTGTTCTCCTCCAGGTTCGTTACTACTACTAATTATTTCAATTGTGAAAATGTAGATTTAGTTTGGATTCATGCTTAATTTGACAAATCTCGTTTGTAATTCCTCCTTCCGAAATTGATTTATCGCGATTCGAGAGCTCAGTTTTTCATATCTGAAATTGAAATGAATGTTAGCTTTTAGCTCGTTAGTTTTATATAAATGATTTGTTTAACTCCATGAGAGATGTTGGACGTACAATGTCGTCTTCGAGTTTTCATTTTCGAATTCATCAGAAACCGATCATTCTTACGAACACAACTACGCAAGTGTTTGTGTTTGGCAATCAGTTCATATTCTCTCCGATTCACAATTACGATTGAATTTGAAACAGAAGATAAGTAAAAAAAAAATATAGAGTTGAAGCATGATTTGATGTAAAATAACCACCACAACAGCTGTCAAGGCTCACTGTTGTGTCTCACGCTTCTGTAACATGATATTTTGTTAGTTTTTAATATATAACTTAATTTAAATTGTGTATTGTTACATGCTTGTTAAGTAATAATAAAAAGCATATGTTTAAATATATAATATTAAGTATGATTATAGAGATTTGTCGTCATAAGTCACGCCCTGGAAAACGCCTTAGCCTCGCCGTGGTTCCTAAGGCTTGAGGCTTTTCTCAACGCCATGCCACGCCACACGCCATTTAGAATCTTGAAAATAACACGACGTCCTCAAGTTACAGTTACTCCGTCCCAAAATAAATGTCCAACGATGAAAATGACAGACAATTGTAAACATGTGTAATTATTACACTTTAATAGGGAGTAATAAGTTTCTCCATCGGGTAGAGTTGGAAAGCAGCCAGTTACTTTCTGAAAATGGACAGTTATTTGGGACAAACTAAAGTCGAAATGTTGACACTTATTTTGGGACAGAGGGAGTATATTCTCATCTTCCCACATTTGGAAACCAGACTCCCACTTTGGTCATATATGGCAACCATAAGCTAACTTATTGAAATGATACTTCAAAATCGTGTGGTTCAATAAACTATAGGGGCTTCTTTTCAACTATGTCCCTTATATTTTTAATTTTTAAACATGTCGGTTTAAAGTTATTTTACATTGTCATCAAGATTATTAGCCACTAGTTTTTACCAAACATTGACTAATTTATTAGCTATATTTTTCAGCTAATAAAAATAATTAACTTTTCAGCTATCGGTTAGAGTATAAGTCAACAACTAGTTTGCAAAACATAACCTCTGTATCGCTCTAAATTTGAAGGCATCTTGGTATGGTGAAGTTGATTCCCAGCATAAATTACATTTGTGTTGTGTCATGCTTGTAGGGAACCAGTCGAGTTGGCTTGTGCGCAGTCTCTGATGCCTCTTCATTCTGTAACTGCCTCATCGTTACTCAAGTCGATGTTGTCTTCCAAGGTCGGCCAGTGGAGTTCTCTGTCCGAAGGTTGGTTTTCTTGTTTCTCTGTTTTGCATTTCATAAGGCCCTATGGTAATGCATGTGTTGCAATTGTTGGTGTTTCATATGATTCATTTGGTTATAATGAATCAAGATTGTGGTCTCTAGATTCAGGTTGATGTAGAATTTGCACCAATTCCCCATAATCACCATATATGCTATAGGAGTATAGGGTTATTTTAGTTTCACAAAGAACTTGATAAGCCTTCTAGAGGAAGAGATGAGAACTATATGGTTGCATAAAGACTGTCACAATACTTAGAAACAATGTCTTCCTATGATACTCGGGAAGTTTAAGGGGCTGTTCGGTTGGTTTTTCTTTAAGTCATCTATGTAGCTGTCTCTATGGATTAATCTGTCTATATAGATTGAGAAGGTTTTTGTTTGGGAGGGTTTTTCATAGATGGAATGGAAGCATGCCTTTTAATTGGGAGACATATTTGGAAAAAAAAAACTCTGCTTTTTGCATAAAGCTCCCCTTAGAACCATACTAAATAAGCCACTTTCTATATCATTAAAACCCCTACCAAACAATCACATATAGCCTACCGAATAAGTCATGAGTCCCATTAAGCTCATAAAGTTATCACTTAGGGGCGGGAGACCGATGATTTTAGAGAGGCAAAAAGAATATGGGGTTATTTCTGGTATTAATTTGTTTTAGGTGGCTTATCGGGGACAAGTGTAGGGTCTTGTCTTATTTAATATAGCCATCTTGGCTTAAGGGCTTAACGATTAAGGCAATAAAGAAACACGTGTATATGGTGAGCTAACAAGCCGCCCATGAGCGCGTTAAGCTGTAAGTAAATAACCCATTATCCGTTTATGAATGAATGGGGTAAATCTACAGCAACCATCAATGTTATTACCAAATTCACCATATTTTCTCGTGCTGCAATCTTTGCTGTAATCGCGCCACTATAGTAGTGGTAACTCAGTTCGTGGGCGATTTATAGGTGCTATTCAAATTGTTATTAACGTAAAAGAATCTAGAGTAAACTATGTTTTTCGTCCATGTGGTTTGTTGAAAATTGTTATTTTTGTAAATATCTTCTGTTATTATTTTAGTCCCTGTGGTTTCAATTCCTTGCTTTTTTCGTCTCTAGTTCTTGTGTTTTACAATTTATTAGTTTTTCATCCTTGTAGTTTACAGTTCATAGCTGTTTTCATCCCTGTGATTTACAGTTCATTGTTATTTTAGTCCCTCGTACTTAATGTTAAACCATAAACAAAGTTACCCTCCGGAACGAAAACAACAATAAATTATAAAGCACAAGGATGAAAAACGTGATTTCAAAAATACAGAGATGAAAATCGCAATCTTCGCTCCTTCAAGTCAATTGTAATTTTTGTAGCTTAGGGCTACTTATTCAACGTCCTAACCACATAATATGATCATACTGTTTCTTGGTAACGATATTTTTAGCGTTCCTACTCATTGGTGGATTTAGGGGACGTGTTAGTCGGTACCCGTGCAACCATAATTTTTTCCCAGCAGAATGTATATCTTTTGAGTCCTTAAGAATGCTACCACTTCGTTTCATTGTGTGGTACAGTTCAACCACAAAAATAACCCGTGGAATCCATCAATATTTTTTTTTTGAAATTATACTGCAAATGCAACAAATAAACTCACACCCCCTCCTCACCTATGGTGAGGTTTGAACCCCTGACCTCCTAGGAAGTTAAAGGCTACGATACCGTTAGGCCAAACGTCATTTGGTGAATCCGCCAATGTTCCTATTTGATGTTCAGAAAATGCATTACAATTTAAGTTTATTTACTCTACAGGATTTGCAACACCACTATAACATGGCCTCCACAACATGTATCACAAAATAGATGAAAAATCTGGTGGGAATGATGCAAACTTGAAGCTGATTCCTATTTCCAAATAATCTTCAGAATTTAATGTCTCTTTGTAATGGAATTAAATCTATGCTTCCAAATTTTTGTGACATTAATTGTTGTACATTCATTATACTATTTTACTGAACCTACTCTACTCATTACATTAAACATGTGTTTTTTTTTTTCTTCATTAACCTGCATATCCAACCCCTTATGCAATTGACTAATCCCAGGGCGACCACCTGCTTTGCGGGTAGCTCGGAGTCACCGTAGTTGAACCTCCGTGACCACAAGGGGATTTGTATTCCTCTTTGGATTTGAACCTGAGACCTCCCAACACTTTTGACCTTTGGAGCCCAAGCTCAAACCAATCAGACACCACCTTTGTGGTTTACATTAAGCACGTGTTAAGCATATAGCTAGCGTTCCTTCTGAGTCAAGATCAAACTCTTCTCTCCCATGACTTTCTGGGTCAACCAACCCGGATCTGTCCTGGCGAGGCTATTTGCATTTTGGAAGGGCCGGTGATGGAAGCTTATTCTTATTTGGATCACCAAGTAATCGGTGGAGAACTGGAGATAGTGTTAATTGCATAATTTTGATATAAAACTTGATGTAAACACTAAATAAAATTGTTTGGTTTAACAAAATGTTTTTTTTGAGGGAATTGGTTTTTGTGAAAGAATATGGAATGAAATTGAATTATATTTTTCGTAAGATAACTACAAAAATAAATTAGAAATATTTATAAAAATAATTAAATTAAACTTTAATTAATTGATTTATAAAATAAATGATATTAACATATTTTAAAACATTATTTTAAATTAATATTATGAAATTTTGTAAAATACCAACTATTCTCATGAAATATTTTAAATCCAATGTTTGTTGAATTTCAATTCTTGACTTCCTTTGAATTCAATTCTAAGTTGGCGTTTGGTTTGTGGAATGTTTTCGGGTGTAATGGAATCTGTCAAAGGAATTAGAATGAAATGTTGTCAGATTTGATCACATGTTTGGTTGATATACATTGAAATGGAATCCGTTAAATGAATTGGAATTGGTCTGTTTGGTTCATAGAATATAGCTTTTGAATTGGATTGAAATGTTGGTAAATGATCCAAATACTTTTTTTTGAAAAATTTAAATTTTTTCAAACTAAAATACTTTGATAGAACAATCATTTAATGTGTAAAACAATATAACATACACAACATCCCTAATGCATTAAACACATAAACAACGTGACAAGAAAAGATTATTAATACAAGAAAGAAAATTGAGCATAAAAAAGCGAGTTTTAGGTTATTATACAGAAATCGAGCAGAAAAAATAAAGTAGAACAATTTATTAGTGAAAACGAGTAGAAAAAAGTGTGAATCAAGTAGGAAAAAACGATTGGATTGAGCGTGGAAAAAGGAGCAAAAAAATTGAGCGGGGAAAAACGATATTAAGGAGCAGAAATCGAAAGTAGGAATCGAGCATGTAGTAGGGAGAAATCGAGAAATCAAAGTTGGAGAAGCTGTAGAGAAAAGAGAAATTGAACATGTAGTAGGGAGAAATCGAGAAATCAAAGTTGGAGAAGCTGTAGAGAAAAGAGAAATCGAACATGAGAAGTGACGGGGAGAAGTCAAAAATCATTGCGATGGAGAAGAAGGTTTTTAACATAATAGAGTTAAACGGGTATATTTGGGATTATGAAATTAGAACATTCCATTCCATCAAATACCATCTTATTGCAAAGGAACGTTTAAATCCTTTATTTGTAGAATTCAATGGATTTTTTTTTGAAGATTTTTTCCTTAAAAAAAAATGAACCAAACAAAAGAATAAAATTTGGTTAATGAAATTCAACATTTTAGTTCCATCAGTAATAAAATTATCTATATCTATATATGTATGTATGTATTTTATTTTTACAACAACTTAATAAAATATATTTTTTTATCGAATTAAATTGTTCATAATTAATTTTGAATATGTTACTTGTATGTTTTAATTAAATATGTTATTGGATTTTAAATTATTAATAAGTAATTGTGAATTCCTATAAGTTAAACACGTTAAAATTAAATTTTTAAAAACTAAAAAAAACATAAATTTAATCTGTAATATAATATAAACAAAAATTTAGTGTTTTGAATGATTAAGTTCTTGGACAATTTTTTGGAACTAAGTTCTTAGACATTCCAAAATCTGTTAAATAACTTTTTGGATTTTCTAAAACCTATTAGATACATTCTTATGACCTATAAAACTGGTTAATATAGTAAAATTAGAAAAAATCTGAAATTAATTTGTAATCCTTTTTAAATTATTGTTTTACCTTTTTTAATCGGTGATAGCACTCTAACAAGTTTTGGAATATCGAAGGACTTATATGTTTTAAAAAATTGTCCAAAAATTTAATAATTCAAAACAGTAAAATCCATTAGGTTTTTTTTAACTTTTCCCTATAATATACAAGTAAAATTAAAATGTCATTTTATAGAATAAAATAAAACAAAAATGCATACATCTCAAACTTGAAGGACCAAATTTGAACTTTAAAACCTCAACACCATCATTGGGAGTTGGGACCGAGACATTGCCCAAACTCCTACGGAAGGCACCTATTTCTTAGACCATCCACACAGGGTTTGCAAAACCCTTTCAAAATGAATTGCAAATGGCCACCTCACCATAATTTTATCTGACACTTTCAAATTTTGCAATTGTTATTGCAATGCCACATAGACCCAAACAAACTTTTTTAATATATAAAATTAATTACTCTTATTCAATATATATATATATATATATATATATTATTTTTAAATAAAATATAAATACAATCATAATAAATATGTTTAATTAATATAGYTAAATTAATTTAAACATTAAATTTTATCATCACCTAAAATTAAAATTATACATATTAAAACATATAATATTAATAAAGTTACATATAATCTAAGGTATATATAATCTAAGCTATAAAATTACATATAAAACATGTTATTAAATTAAAAATAATTATAATGTATATATAAATAATTTATAAAATAGTTAATAAATGTTGTAGTGGGGACCACTTTTGAAAGTGTAGGTGAATTGCAGGTGTGTGGAAGATAATTGCAAAAGCTGATGTGTCACAATTGAAAGTGTAAATGGATTGCAGGGATGTGGATGGTCTTATACCCAAAAAAGAACCATCTGTCCAAGTGAATGAAGAATATTACACTAAATTTGATGTTTTACCATCCGTTACACCACTTTTTAAAGTGCAAGTCGTTAAATTTAGTGTCTTCATTGGAGATACTCTCGACACAATTCTAACCGTATGCAAATTCTATCGTTGTACTACTACTTACTGTAATCTCGTTGTCGGTTTCTTCTTCACGTTCAAGTTCAACTATCGTTGTTTTGTTGGAGAAACTGGAGATCTTTCATTTGAAGCTGCACGGCTTCTTTAGACAACGGTTTAGGCTCGGGATACCTATCTTCTTCGCCTCCTTCGGCAACTCTTTGAGCCTTGGCTTTCACGATCCTATCTATCTCCGCTGGTGCAACGGATGGGAAAACGACTTTAAGCATTATACGCAATTGTCTTTCATCTTCTTCTTCTATAGGATCTCTTCCGAAGCAACAAACGTATATAGCATCGAGAGCCTTCTCCGCTCTTGCCTCCATAGGAATGGGTGTTACGGGTATGTTTAGTTTCACTCGTTTCTGAAGTTTTAACAATCAATAATGTTAGAATTCATGAACCATTTAGAATAGGCACCCTTAGATCAATCTTAATTGAAGATCAACACTAATGGGATGCACTGGATCAATCTCCGTGAGAAGCACAATTCTAATGAGAGGAGACCCATGGACTAATTGAAATCGCAACAAGAGGTGGATTCTGAATCTCATTGGGCATTGTTACTTATTCATCAGATATGAGGGTTGTTTGGCAGTTGTTGAATGATTTGGTGCAAAATGATTAAGTTGTGAGAATGATTAAGAGACTCTCATGATATAATGTAAAATGAAATATGATTGTTTGGTAATTATTTACAATTAAATTAGGACGCTGAATGGTTAAGGGAGACTCATGATACAAAATCATTCGAAGGGTTTTATAACCATTAAGAGGCAGACTTTTTTTTTTGCCAAACAAGATTCATCTCATAACGATTCAGAGACTGTTTCTTAATAGAACTATTAAGAGGTAAACAAACAATTTGAGTTTCTTCTTGAGCCACCGTATGCCCTTAAGCCATTTACTTATGACTAGGGGAATAAATGGGACGAGCTTTTAACGAGCTACTCGAGCTTGAGGTTAATAATTCTCAAGCTCGAGTTGATCTTGAACACAAAATAAAAACTCGTTTAACTTAACGAGTCGAGCTTCATAACACCAATGTTCGACTCGGCTCGTTCAGAAACTCGGATTGAATTTTTTTAGTCGAGTCGAGCCGAGCCATTCGAGCATACGCTTTTTCAAGCCGAACATGCTAATATGTTCATAAATAATACTATAAAAATAATCAACCTCAAGCCAATAAACGAGCATAGAGCTCAAGCTCAATAACTCAAAAAATACTCGAGCTGGTATCTCTTTTTTCAAGCCAAGCTCGAATGACTCGACTCAAACGGAATGTTCCAGCTATATCTTTGATTATATTATTCATGAACATAAGAACAGGTTTGGTTCGAACAAGTGTATGATTCGAACGACTCGACTCAACTCGAATATTCTAATCGAGCCTAGTCGAAGCTCGTTAAGTTTTATTTTGTGTTTGAGATCGCCTTGAGCTCGAGAATTATTAAGCTCGACTTGAGTAGCTCGTTAAAACCTTTGGATACTTAACACGTTAGTGGGAGGTTCAAATAAGAAACTAAATATTGTGGGAGAAAGTAAGGGAAAGTTGGAATCATTGAAAAAACCCGTTTGAAGATGCATATTTGAACCTATTTGGATAATCCGTAACATATGGTTCACATATGCATCTTCAAGTAGAAATTTCCAGATGTTTTAATGAATTCACATACGAACTTTAATTGTTACCGTCTCACGACTTTTAATCTTCTTATTTGAACCGTGATCTAACACCCTAAGTACAACCAGTATAGTATCGAAAATGAAAAACCAACCTCTCTGGCTTCATTCATCATGGCAATGAACGTTTCCTCTTCGAATTCGATATCGTTCGAAAGCCGAAGTCTCGATACTCCTTCCAAAATCTCTTCAGATTTCAGCAATCCAGCTCCTAATGCAGCTAACCAACAGCACATCAACACATAGAGAGGATCCCCTGCCTATTTCACCACAAATTCTATTTAGATACTGTTAGTTAGCGATTGTGTATAGGAAGATGATTCACGGACCGGATAAACTTAAGAAATGTCGGAAAAACAATTTCCGAATACAACAACTTGACCCTATTAGCCTTTGGGTTCATGAATTTCGTATTGGGATAATTCTTAGTTTTCCTTTGTTCTCCAAAGGCTGTGAAAAACGAGATCTATACCTAGATTCTGGTTTTACATATTTAAATGAGAGATCGACGGTTAGTTGGCGGTTGAACGGTTATAACCGTTAACGGATAAGGTCAAAAGACAGTTACAACCGAATTTAAGTTCTGGAACATGCATCTTCAGCAGTAGCTGAAGACTCCTACAACGATAAGCTGATCAATTGTTGAAAGGCTCTTTAGCGACAATTGAAGCCAATCAACGATAGGTCGAACAATATCCATCAATACCTGATGTTAATTTCTGACTTAGTAAAATTCCCAAACTCTTATGAACTTAGATCCGGAAAGAACATCTTGGGGGCGCTCCCCCTCGGCCCCTTGGAACAACGCAAGGGGGCGCGGCTCCCTTGACCCCCGCTTTATGGCGATCGAAGGTTATAAAAGGGCAACATTTGTAAGTGTGCACTCAGCACCACCTAACTTACGCATGTTTTGCCCTATTCAATCTTCAAGTAAATCACAATTACACTAAAATCACTAACAAATACTTTCAATTGAATAGACCCTAGAACATGATGTTAGTAATTTTAGTGAAATCATCTGTTTACTTATGTAATTGGATTTACAAAAGAATACGAGGTTGGTAGTTAACTTGTATCACCGGCTAGGAGGGTGTGGAGTGCATACTTGTGTAAGTTAACGAGAAGCCGGGATTGCTGGATGGGCGTAATATGGAGGGGGCAAAGGGGGGATATACCCCCGTGCATGGTCCAAGGGCCATTGCCCCTGAAGAGAAGTACTCGGAGAAAATGTGTTTTTGAATGTCCTAAATGACATTCAGAAGGTTTGGCTTGTTTGTTGGCAACTTAACGGGACTCACAACTTAATTAGTCAACTATAGTGTTTCGTAGTGGCTTAATGGTATAGAAAATAACTTATTCAGTAAGTTCCTAAGGGTTAGGGGTGCTCATGGGTTGGGTTAATCGGATTCAAGACATTTGAACAACGTGACCAATGCTTGTGGTTTAAATTTTTTTAACTCAATCCAACCCAAACCAAAGTGCAACCCAACCCAACCCAAACTGTATGGCTTGGTCGGGTTAGTCAGGTTGGTATATAAAAATATTCTTCTAACCTTGAATATGTTATTTCTCTACTCATAATTTCGTTTTCATCAACAACCATTTGGTATAACTTATCCATACTTCTTACATATATCACATTCAGTTAATTTTCTCGGTTTACTTATATATGTTCACAATTACTGAACATATATACGAATGAGTTATATAGATATGTGCATAGATTGAAAACATGTGTATATAAAGAGCATACGTGATAGTATAATTGTATAATCTATATATTAATAGAAATTCAACAATCATATTAAATCCAAGAAATAACAGGATATCGAGTTCATCAGGTTTGAGTTGGATTTTCAAATAATAGTAACCCGAACTACCCAATACCCACGTTTTGCAAATTTTACAACTCGATTAAACATCGGATTGAGTTATTCTGCATTGAGTTGATTGGGTTGGTCGGGTTTTTGAGCACCGAGTCTTATTCTTAATCGGTGCTTCCGAATCTAATAAGAGCTTATGAGCCAGAAGGCTTCCGACTCTGAAGCTTCGATCGATGTGCATTTAACCGCCACTAATTCCTCCAGCAATCACTTCTATTTAACAGAAGATATTTTCAGCATTGATTTAGGAACTGTTACGATTCTCTGGCTTTAAAATTAATCGTTTTATGCCAAAATCGTTACATTTTCTGCTCGACTAGATTTCGTGATGATCGAATCGAATGGGACCAAATCAATCTATCGATTACCAGAAACTTCCGATCAATTTGATCAGTTTGAGTTCTCGAACGAATTCATAGAGAGAAAAAGAGTAAATGTAGAATTAGGTACCCGTCCATGGCGATCTTGAAAGTCGATGAAAGCTCTAGAATCATTCACCGAAGAATTCTTCCCAACTCTCCTTCGAAACTCAGCAAAATCGATGAAATCGCCTCCAACGCCACCGGTGTCGGTCAGAATTCTGGCGACGAGGCCAATTACCGGCAAGGCGCCGATGACTCTATTGGCGAAGCCGGAGATTGTGTTTGAATCCTCCATGTAAGATTTAACAACCACGACGCCATTGGAGGATCTGCAAATGTTGGACTTCGTTGGAGTTTTATAGAAATGGCGAAAGTAAAGAAGAGAGGTTGTTGAAGGATTGAAGGTGAGGGTGTAGAGGTGGTGGTGATGGTTGGGAGTGGTGGCGATGGAGGTGATAACCACCATGACTGACGGTGGGGTGTGGTGGAGTTTGAATGTTGGATTTAGATAGGGTGATATTAGTGGATGTGGGTTTTTATCCTCTGCATTGACGCCTATGGTATGTTTTATGCTTTTTGCACTTTACCCCCTTTTACTTTTACCTATTAAAGTTGCACCCTCTACTTTTATCTTATTTTGCATTTTAGTACGTTTGGTGATATGGGTGTTTGGATATGTGTTTTTAAAACGATTGAAGAATTATAGTCATAATCATATTGTTAGTCGATTAAAGTTATTGACACAATCTGGGCAGAAAGCTGATTAGTGATAACTCCAACCGACTTCACACAGATACCGCCTCCAATGACATTAACGAGGGGGTATTTTTTTTTTTTTTTGTTTACTCAATGGCTAAGGCTAATGGGGGTGTGGGATTGAACCTAAGACGGGTCAGTCCATCCATTTACAAACTGAGTTACCCTAAACCCTAATTATGGATGCAACTAGGTCTTGAATTCTGCAGGTTACCGGCTTGAACCCTTTCCCTAGCCTCAGTCGCTAAGTTCGTTCTGAATCCCTTCTCACATGTGGGGTTCTTAGGGGGTGTTCCGTGTGGGTTGCTCGAGGTTGCCATTACCGGTAATCAATCGTACCCAAATTAAGGTTTAAATCGATTTTTATTGTATATATATTTTTTTTCAAAATGGTTATTTAGTCTAACAAAAAAATTAAAAATTTAAATTAGGGTAAATTGCATGAAAAAGTAACTTACTTTAACTTGATTTATATTTTAAGTAACGTACTTTTGAAACTTTCATTTTGGTGTCTAAGATGTAAAATTTTAAACATTTAAGTACCCAGGTAACCATAGCTCAAGTCCGGCTCAAGCCTGCAAATGATCAACTCTAATTACAGTTTAAACTACAATATTTAACCTTGTTGTTTGTTAAAAATTTGTTACTTTCATTCTTATGCTTCCGAAATTACAGTTTTTTCCGTCCTTACGTTTTATAATTCATTGTTGTTTTCATCTTTAGGCTAACTCAGTGAGTGGTTTACTATTAAAAATAAGGGACGAAAACATGAACGAACTGTAAAGCACAGGGACCACAAAAGCAACAAATCGTAAACCCAACAATGAAAACCGTAATTTCTAAAACACAAGGATGAAGATAGCAATTTTCAACAAATCAGAGGTGCAAAACAGTAGTTTTCTACTTAATTTTCTCAACCATTATTATGTCCCAAAAACTTGTACAGAATATGCAATACAAAACTTATTAAAACAACAACAAAATGCAACTATTGTAGCTTACAACAATTTCCTCATAACATTACCCAGCAATTTTGTAGCTTGGATTAACAAGATTATCCAAACCCGCAACTACTTGGATCGATTCGATAACGTCCCCGACCTTCAAATCGGCCAGAAAGTCCTCGTTTTGGGTCACATATCCAAACACCGAGTAACGTCCGTCCAATATATTCGCATTACTCGGAGTCAATTCACTCTCTTTCAGAAGCCAAAATATCTGGCTTGACGCTGAGTTGTTTTCAAATTCCTGTAAAATGAATCCCAGTGAGGCAATTTACCAAAAATTGTACTCGGGTTTATCTGATTACTCTCTTCTAGGCATGGTAACGAAGCGGGGATTTGGGGGGGGGGGGGGTTTGTAATCCCCGGCCCCGGTGTACAGGGAATAACATTCCATCCCCGGTCAAACACTCAAACCCTATGAAAATTATATGTTAGTTTGAGTCTACCGGGGATCCCCGGCCCCGGGACCCGTTTTAGCGGGGAATCCCCGTCCCCTTTCGGGTAGGGTGAGCCGAGTTCCCCACCGGGTCGGGATACATCACTATCCTTACTCCCTTCATCTCAAAAGAAGTGCTCACGGTTCTATTTTAGTTCGACAGAAGATAAGAGCATGTCCAACAGATTCTCCAAAACATAAATTTTGGGGATTTTGGGCAAAAAAAAATTTGTTTTAACAGATTCTCTAAAACTTTCTCCATTTTAGAGAAAGCGTGAAATTCTCCAAATTTGGAGAACTTTCTACAAATGATTACCATGAGAATATTTTAACAAGTTGTTGAAGAATCTTCCAGAGATGCTTTAAGAGTTCGTTTTCAATTCTACCCTTAATTATGAGATGGAGAACTTCATTACTCTATCAAGTAATACTTATTACACATCTCTAAAACTGTATGCTTTTTTTCAGTGTGGATGTTTATATTTATATATATTTTGAGATGGAGGGAGTATAAAACTCTCACCTCTCTTGCCATGGCCATGGTTCCAAATGCATTGAAGGGGAGCTTAGTTTGAGCCTTGTAGAGACCAATGTCCTGCATCATATGAACATAACATCACTTTACTTGAGAATTTAAATCAAAGTGGACAACTTCAAACCATATATATATATATATATATATATATATATATATATATATATATACTAGAAGGGTACTCGCGCAATGCAGCAAGATACATCTTGATTTTAATGTTTTGTTTTATATTTTGGCTCTATCGATGTTATAATGCGATTTTATGTGGTTTTGAGAAAAAATAAAATGTTTTTATTTTTAAATGAAATATTATAAATTTTTTTAAAAATAAGCAAAATTAGTATTAAATCAACTATTTAAAAGTTCTCATTTTTTTTATGTAATTTCTTTAATATATTTTTTCTTATAATTT